TCTAACAGCCCTCTTTCATGTGTATTTTACGTTTTTGCCATGTAGGTCTTTCACAGTTCTGCAGCCCCAGGCGGGCATTCTCTGAGCAGGGTCCGCTCCGCCTGATCAGGAGCGCCTCTTTCTTTGCAGGTTTGCGATGTGCTGTGTGGGTAGACTAGTTGGTGTGCCCCAGCGGCTTCAGTCTGTAGTTAAGCTGTGGAAACAAGAAAGTAGACAAATGCAAGTGATGAGAATGTAAAAAAAACAAAATAAAACCGATAATTAATTTCTGCAACGTATGTTCTGAAAATTTCCAGAAACTAAGTTATCATTTGAGATGGTAACTTTCATAATGCTTTTCATTTCTTATCTTTGTACCATATTGATTTTAATTTTATAATTTAAAACCAAATTTTAATATTAAATGATTTCTCATAATGCCAAGTGGAATTTTTTGTGTGATATTATCTTGTTTCCATGGCTGAGTAGCTTTTTACCATAATTCACCAATTGTTGAAAATATCGTATTATTCTTATAAGATTTCTGATCTACACAAATCCAAAAGATACATTGTTCTTTTTTTTTTATAGATTGTTCTTAGAGCTAAGATTTAGATGAACAAGCACCATCGTAATGCTTATTGAAATAATGTTGTATATGATTATATTCATATTAAATTGAGATTTTGACATGTGTATACTTGCTTCTGTAGTCAGAATTCTAATTATTACCCATGTTTATTAGCTAACATTTCAGCCTTCTGGTGGAAATTACTGCTAACATATGAACAAATTTGCTTCTGTTGATTTAAGATTGCTTTCAATTTAGCCTTTTCATCTTGTTTTAATATTTATTTCCTTTACAAAAAAAATATGAAGAAGACCTAGCATAGAAAATTAACAAAAATTTATATTAGCCATCTTGTTTGCTTGAGAACCTATGTTGTTGTTGTTTGTTGATTGCTGTTGAGTTGAACACAACTTATAGCAACCCTATGAACAAAAGTCCTGAAGTCTTTTTACAGCTATCATCATTTATCAAAGTTCATGGAGTTTCCAGAGGCATGTTGTTTAGGAAGTGAATGCCACTTCTCCTTCCAAAGAGATAACTGTAGTATTATGATTATTATATTTTTAATCTAAGATATATTACCCAGTTTTCCTAAACTTATTATTTTGAATAATTTTGAACATACATGAAAGTAAGCAGAAGAGTAGAGCAAGCATTACTATACCTAGCACTTGGTCCCAGCAGTCACTTTGAGTTTTCTCATTTAGTATTACGTTTTGAATATTTTTTTATATCTAGTATTCTTTTAAAATATTAATTTTGTGTTCCTTTAATTAGATATTATGTTGTGGATCACTTTTGTCATACTACATGTCAGATATTCAAATAGATCCCAAAGCTTGTTCAACTGAATAATAGCTCTTGGTGTTGGGTTGGTGTCATGCTGTTGAAAAAAATAAAGGAATGCAATGAAATGAGCATGACTTAATTTGTTACTTAGGAGCAGCATCCACCTGTATAGCATATAATCTAAAACTGACTGTTTACTTTGATTCACAGTTCACAGCAATCCAATGGACATGCCCGGAAGAGAGCTGAATGAGGACAGAGACAGTGGCATAGCACGCTCTGGTAACACAAGTTCATGCAATAATCCCGTTTAGTATGAGATAGTTGTTGCAGCATTGCTTTGTTTTTGGACCTTGTGTTTACCATCAAGTATTATATGCACAGTTTGTTAATGTTCAGTATTAGCCTTATAAGAGAAGCTTAAAAAGAGCAGAGAGTGGCATCTTCATGTAAATGGTTAGAGTTGTTAATTTTACTTTACCCTCTGCTGAACCTGGAAGAGTGCACATTGACCTAGACCTTGCCAGTAAAACAATACAGTTTTGCCCAGATACTGCTTAGAAACCTGACTCAGTCTGGTGGCCAGTGGGATTAAGCCTTGTTACGAACTAACACTTTCTTCTTTACTGGGAAGAATATCAAAAGGAGATGGTCTCAGAGTCTATGTCACTCTTAGCTCTTTTGGTTTTATGATCTTATTACAGCACTTTTTTTTTAAAATGGGAATTTTAAAAAGGGAGGCCTGCTTATGTAACAAAATGAAATATCTGAGTCACCCAACTCTTGATTGTTAAAAACAAAATTTTCTTTTGTGCTTAGTCATTGTTGAGATATATAATATTTTTATAATATATGTGTGTGTGTGTGTGTGTGTATAATATTTGTTTTTCTAATTTAACAGCATCTCTAAGCAGTTTGCTTATCACTCCATTTCCCTCTCCAAATTCTTCACTTACTCGAAGTTGTGCCAGTAGCTATCAACGACGTTGGCGACGCAGCCAAACTACAAGCTTGGAGAATGGGGTATTTCCTAGATGGTAAGTTGGAAGTTAAAACAAGGTTGCATAGTTTCTTGAACACATTTGGATTTTTTTTCCATCCAAGAGATTTGACATATTCTTTGTATTTTAAATTTGCAACTGAAAATATATTGCACACTTTTTTCCCTTTTTTCCTTCCTTGACTTTACTGCTATAATAAAAACTAAGATTCAAATAGATGTTGAAACATTCAAGAGATTGTACTAGACACATCTGAAAACCTTGAAATTTAGACAATTTTAGGCTAATTTTGATTTTTTTAAAATGACCTACTTTTTTTGGTGGCTTCTAAATAGACAACTATTCCTAGTCAGACCTTATAATAATATGTCTCATTATTAGAATGAAGGAATGGCCAATAGACTTCTAAAAATAGGTTTATTTTCTAAAAGATATGTATTGATAAGAATTTTTAGATTTGTTGGGTAAATTGGCAGAAGACCTTTAGCTTGCCTGCTTAACTGGCAAGAAGATTGAATTGTCATTAATAATGTTAATTATTTTTAAAGGTCCATAGAAGAAAGCTTTAATCTGTCAGATGAAAGCTGTGGCCCTAACCCAGGAATTGTGAGGAAAAAGAAGATTGCAATTGGAATAATCTTTTCATTATCTAAAGATGAAGATGAAAATAGCAAATTTCATGAATTATTTTTTTCACATTTTCCTCTTTTTGAAAGCCACATGAATAAATTAAAGAGTGCAATAGAACAGGTGAGTAGAATCATGATTTGATTTCTTGGTGGTATTTCTTTTGAATCTTATTTTCTCTATATAAGCAATATATTCATTTGACACTAAGAGTAATAGGCACTGTGCAGGTACTCTACTTTGGAAAAATATAAATAAATCGAAATCTTTCAAAGATACTTGTTACTTAATAAATATATAAAGTAATTAATTATTAATTTGACACCAAGATTAACTAGCACTGTGCAGGTACCATACTTTGGAAAAATGCAAATAGACAGCAAATCTTTTTAAGATTTAAGATACTTAACAGCTTTCATCCCAGTCAGGATGGGAGTGTTGGAGACAGTGCGATTGGCACAGGACAGAGCGGAGCTTAGGGCTGTTGTACATAGGGTCGCTATGAGTCACAAGCGACTCGATGGCACATAACAACAACAACAACAGCTTTCATTTGTTTGACTCCACAATCAACACTCTTGATACTAGCAGCCAAGAAATTGGAAGATGAATTGCATTGGAAAAGTCTGCTGTTAGGGATAGCTCCATTGTACTGAAGAGCAATGATGTCAGTCTGGAGGCGAAGGTGCATCTGATACAGGCCATGGTCTTCACAATTACTTTCTGTGAATCAGAGAGCTGGACAATGACTAGGGATGATGGAAGGTGAATTAGGGGTGCCTTTAACCTTCTCCGGTGGTGCTGGAGAAGAGTATTGAATATACCATGGACTGCTAAGAGAACAAGCAGGTCTGTCCTGGAGAGGGTGAAATCAAGCTGCTCCTTTGAGGCACAGATGATGAGGCTCTGTCTCATATGCTTTGGGCACGTTGCAAGGAGGGGTCAGTCCTTGGAGAGGGACATCATGCTTGGAAGGGTGGAGGCACAGTGCAAGAGAAGAAGACCCTGGTTGAGATGGATTGATTCAGTGACTGGGGTAAGGGGTGGATCGAAGTGTCAGAGACAAAAAGATTGGCTCAGGATAGAGCAGGGTTTAGAGCTGTTATACATGGTGTCACTGTGAGTCACAAGCGACTTGATGGTACATAACAATAACATTATTTAATAAAATATCTAAAGTAATGAATTTGTTTAATAAATAGTTCAGAATCTACAATGTAGTAGATGTAGCTTTGTTGTTGTTGTTGTTGTTGTTGTTATGTGCCGTCGAGTCATTTGCGACTCATAGTGACCCGATGTACAACACCCTAAACCCTGCTCTATGCTGTGCCAATAGCATTGCCTCTGACAAACCCATCCCGATTACCCCAGTCACTGAATCAGTCCACCTCATAGAGGGTCTTCCCCTCCTGCACTGTCCCTCCACCCTACCAAGCGTGATGTCCCTCTCTAAGGACCTGTCTCTCCTTACAACATGTCCAAGGTATGTCAGATGAAGCCCCAGAATCCTTGCCTCTATGGAGTAGCCTGGTTTAACCCTCTCTAGGATAAATCTGTTTGTTTTTTTGACGGTCCATGGTACATTCAATAGTCTTCTCCAGCACCACAGCTCAAAGGCATCAATTCTCATTCT